CTGGACATATTTATTGTTTGGCTTTGTTTTATGACTCATTTATGAATCATTCACTATGCATTGAGTTTGGTAAAGCCCTACACTTAGTCTTTCTTGCCTCATATTTCTTACTCTTTTTTGGCATCATCAACATTTCTGACCCTTATCTCTGTAAAACCTCTTTTATTTATTACCATTAAATCTCAGGAAAACCCTTTAAATACATGATGATGCTTAAGTATATTCCTGATCCTCAACGAAGGCAAGCAGTCAGAAAATTGTAAAAAGTGATCATCTCTTTAGTCTCTATTTTGTGAAGGTCAGAAGATATAGGGACCCCTGGGTTGTAATAACTGAGGGAGACGATGCGGCCTGGAAGTTAGTCAATTCAGTCTTCAAAATGTGGAATGAAATGTGAATTATATGCTATGCATATATGATGTGATATATGAGATTTTCCAGTTCTGTGTCCCATTCAAGTTGAAATTGTTAACTCATTACAAATATTGAGAGTGTGTTGACTTGCACAATAGAGTTATGTGTTTACTGCTTTAAATTTTAAATCTGTGGCCATTCTTGGTGCCCTTGATCACATAACAAGTGGAAGTGATCAGGAAGGAGTCGATGGCCATCCAAGAGTTTGCCTTTGAAGAGTTTCTGCTGTTCCAAATTTTCTCTGGCCTCTCCTGCTTTTCAGATCTTTCCATGCAGTCCTTCCTTTGTTTTCTTAGACCCTTTAGAAAAATATTAAATTTTCATGCTGGCACAAAGTCATAAGGGGCGAGGGCTTATAAGGGTGATTCTAGAAAGACTACTGTTCTCTGAATACTTTGTATGAATCCAGAGACCCCCAGAGCTCTGTGGGGTTGGTTCCCAAGACCACAGCCTCAGCTGCCACAAGGGGGCAGTCAGACCCCATGGGAAACTGTCTCACTCCTGTGTTTTCTTTGCTCACACACGCAGAAATTTGTCTGTCATATAAAAAAAGAGTTGTTTGCAGACATTGAAAGAGGAATCCCTATTAAAATTATAAATAACAGGTTATAACTTTCAAAAACAGTGCTGCTTTATTTAAATATTCTACATGTTGAACAGGTTGCTCTGATTTTCATTTCTAGACTACCCTTCTATGTAGCTTATTCCGGTGTGTCCTAGGTCTGAAAAAAAGGAAGAGAAGCAGAGAGAGGCCCTTTCCCTCCCTCAGACTCTTAAGTTTTGAGATCTGGGGAAGATGAATTTTAGGATTTCTTTTTCCATATCAATGGGAAATTGTAGACTGCTGTAGAAAAAAATGCAGAAGAAGCTCACATATTTCCATTATTTGTTTACTTAAAGCTTACATGAGTAAAAGCCTGATGGAATGTTGCCATCAACAATCCCAGACCCAGTTCTGTCCATTCAAAAGTACACCTTTCTGGCTAAGCCTAGAGTCTAGCCCCCTGCTAACCTTTATCTTCTAGTGGATGATCTTTTTGCAGTTTCCACTACCCATCACTATTTCTGCTATTGCTCTGAGCTCAATTTCGTTTAAGTAAATTTATCTCTGTAATAGTCCTGAAACAACCATTTATCAGAGGTTTAATCAGAGAGCTGGATGAACAAGACCAGCTGTACAAGTGTCACTCTGTGTGGCTGACCATGTAGTCACTGCAGGTCTGGGGGCGTGTCCATTTCCATTGCCATTTTAGAGGCAGCCATGTCTCCTGAAACTTAGCACTCTCATGTTCGATTTAGTAATGAGGAGGGGGGTCTTTGGACTTACGCTGTTAAAACAAAGATTTTTTTTAAAAGATTATGTAACTCATGGTCCATAGCAAAAAAGAAAAAGGACAAAATCAAAGAAGGGACAACAAATTGCAAATAGTTTGAAAAGAGATACAGGTAAAAGGTACCAAGCAACAGAAATTCTTTATGCTTGGTAGGTAAATGCTTATGCAATAAGTAACTTTTGAGACATTATAGACTTTGTGGTTCTTAAATGAACAAGCTGGTGCACCTGCTTGTTGATGCACCTACAACATCAAGATCCCAGAGAGCAATCTCTAAGTCAGGGGGTGAAGATCATTTCCAGTTGAGCAAAGCTTATCAAAGCATTTAATCTCCTCCTGCCCTAACAAGAATCTTATATTCACCTGACAGTACAGGTTTTCTATTGAGGACGCACCAGTCATAAATCTCAGAAAGCTTCCTTAACAACATCATGCTTTGTTTAGAATACTGTGGGATTAATGGAAAGGAAACTTACCATGCTGTTTGAGTCTCTCTTTATAAGATAAAGAGGACTAGCTATAAGTGGAGAGCAAGATCTCTTCCCCCATCCCTGCTATAGAGACAATTAGAATGAATATGTTATTTGTGTGAAAAGCATAGGTATTGTGTTACTATCCAGTATGAGAATAAACAAAGTCAATAAAGGCAATGAAAAGGTTAGGTGTGGTTTATTTAATACGTGGCCTTAGCTAAATGGTGTTTGGTGCTTTATGTACCTCAGTTGGAACTAAGCCCTATATTCTTATGTAGGATTTTTAAGTGACTTGCCTAAAAATGTTATTAATTAGTATTATTTTGCAATAGAAACATGCTTAGCAGTGTGCAAAAATTAAGCTGCAGTTTATTGACACCTTTTTTGCATCATGTTTCCTTGCTGACAGCAAATTGATAGAGGAGGTTGCTAAAACATAACAGTTTGATACATCCTGCACAATAGTCCATGCTTAGTTTATTTCCATTGGCAATAGAGGGTGCTCTACACTTTCTAGATTTCCTCACAGAGGCACATATTTCCATCCTTGCGTGATTGTTTATCATTATCACCTCTATTACTTACAGTGAAGTCAGATGAATTTTGGCGTTAGTGAAACTTTGGCATTTACTGAGCCTTAGATTTCTCTGAATTTGTATTAACAAGGTGCTTAGAATCCTTTTGTGTTTCGCTATGAAATGACAGAATTATAGTACTCATAGTACTCAGTGGTTTTTGTGTAAGGCAGGAGAGTTTGAATGATCATTATCTTTATACATCTTACTGTTTTTCTCTGTTAGTGACAGGTATTATTCTACTGATACAGATAAGAAGCAAAAGCACTATTTACAGAACAATCATCCAAATAAGATAAATGAATTTTTAAGTTTTCAAACTGTTATGTTCTTATCCTACCTGATTCCTTTCTTAATCTCTGACTTTAATATATGAATTTCCCTAAGTGACTCTTTTTAAGGAGGTTTTTACAGAATACATGATAAAATAGTCATAAATTATGTCTTAAAAATGTACAGAATTCTGAGGTTTTTTTTTTTTTAGTGTGTGTATATAAGAGAGAGAGGGATGAATAGTAAAAAAGTATTTTAAACACTTTCTATAAAATAAATATTTGTATGTTTGTGAATAGAGTAGTGGGGAGTTAGGGGAAGGAAAGATTGAAAAGTTAATCAGAGACTTTATAATGAAGTGGGAGATCAGAAATCAGAAGGCAGTTACATTAGTGTAGCGTTACATTCTTGCGCCAGTTCGGGGCTGCATGTACCGTGAGACTCAAATTCAAAATGGGTAAATAACAAGATATGTAATTTCAGAAAATAAGAAATTCAAAGTTATGATCAGGGCAAGGGTGGCAGATCCAGAGGCTCCACACTGTCTTCATGAATCTAGCTTCTATCTCTCAGCTCTGTGGTCCTGGGGCTCTGTCCTGCACCTTGTCCTCATGACAGCAGCATGGCTGCTGCAGCTGCATGTGTTTCTTAATCACATAGCTCCCAAGCCCAAGAGAAAGATAGTTAGTTACCTTCTTCTTTTCTGTTTTAAATAGAAAAACTTGTCCCTCAGCTCCCTTATCTCCAATTGATTGCCCTTTGCTTTGTTATCGATTCTTAGAACAGTGTTATACTCTCTGCCAGAGCCAGCACTGACTAGGTTGAATGCAGCTACCCTGGTGGGTATAAAGTTCCCAAGGTTTAGCCCTGGCACTAGGGAGGGACTTTGTCTTTCTTGTAAAGTAGTCTTGGAGCATTAATAAAATTAGAGTTGTGTTGGAGGAATTCTGGAGGAAAGGACTATAAGGTGGGCAGCCCACAGTGTCTCCTCAATGTTTTTGGCTCTCTGCCAGAAAAGCAGGATGGAGTAGAGTGTCCTTATTTTTGCTTTCTGAGCCAAAGGAAAAATGCCAGGCTGGAGACAGTATTGAGTTCTTTTTTTTTTTAAGATTTATTTTATTTATTTATGCATACAAGAGCTGGGGTATAGGCTAGAGTGGGGGGTGGTGAGAGAATTCACCAGAGACAGAGTGGGAAGCAGAACAGGCAGATCTACTGAAATACACTGCTGAGGGGAGCAGCTGGCAAGACAGGAGAGGTCTGCTGTGCCATAGGGGACTGCCGATAGCTTGATAGTGCTGAGATATAACCACTGCGCCACCAGGGAGGCCCAAGTTCTATTAATTTAAGTCAATGTATATGTGACTAAAGATCATAAAACTATTGAGATGTGGATCACAACTAATTTGCTAAATTCTCTTTTTTCACTTACCCGAGTTACTTCCTTTACCAAAAATGTTCTTTCTTTATTTGAGATGAGGTTGGTGGGAGTGAGTAGGAAAAGCAGAGTGTTGGGGGTTGGAGGAAGGCACAAAGGTATTAGCACATTCTTTCATCCTGACCCATGTCTAGGGAACTGTCTAGCCAACTACTCACAACATATAAAACTAAACGTTGTTGCTACCACTCTCCCGTCCATCAAATACATAGAAAATTAAGGTTACTATTTTTGGCACACCAGGCTCCTGCCCACCCATTCCAGGAACCCTGCCACCCTGGCCAGCCTGAGTAATGAGTGGGAATAATGATTGCCCTTCTGCGTGAAGACAGCTTTGTAGACTCAATTTTCAACTTTTTACTGCTTATGCAAGGTCGTATAGCCTTATCTGCCACCTGTACTGGGGAACCCTAGTGTCCTGTGTTTGTGCATAATAACTAGATCAGTTCCCATACTTCCAGGTAACCAAAACCTTTGTTCTGCTTATCCTCAGAGAGATACAGGTCAGTTCCTCCAGTACCACGACTTCTGAGAGTCAAGATCCTTCTTCTGGGGACCCCGCAGTCAGCGCCCTCCAACAACAGCTATTACTAATGGTAGCTCGGAGGACCCAGTCAGAAACCCCTCGGGTACGTTCCAATATCTCTGTCCATGAATGTTCTGGAAGCAGGGACTTTGATTCCTATTTCCAGGTTTTAGCAGAGTTAGTCAGGTCTTACTCTGCATTTTATGTTGTAGATGTATCACTGCATTGTATTCTACTGAACAGACATGAAAAGAAACCATTTAGATAACAGGTACCATCCTGTTGATAGTAAGGAGTGCCTCTGTCTAATTGCTTTTCCAAATGCATTAGGAATTCATTTACTTTGATCTTTGGTTCCTGGGAAGCACAGATCCCAAAAAAGCTCATTTATTTAGGATGCTCTCCATCTCCCCCCATAGTTTGGAAAATATCTCTATTTTCATTCGTTCTTTATGCCTTTATATATTAAGCATTCAGAGATTCTTAAAAGAAATGTTTGACTTGAAGAGAGACTTTATTCTTAAAGCAAATGACATTATCATCAAGGGGCTTAAAACATGAAGCCTTCCAATTATTTTACTGAGACAACTTATTGATGTTCATTTGCTTATTCAGTAGATCTTTAATTAAACTCTGTGAGAGGCAGAGCAAAGAATTCAAAGGGATAGATAACATGCGCGTTAAGACTTATACCCAGGCTTAAGCTCCTTTAGAGCTAGATTCAACCCTGAGCATTTTGGAGAAAGAGGATGCCAAAGGCCCCTTAGAAGGGGCACTTGGGCTAGACCTTGAAGAAAGGTGGGTTTCATTTGGTACAGATTGAGTGAAGAGTATTATTGATTGGATGCTGAAATTAGTGTGAGGTCTGTTAGCTGCTGTGTTTACCTTCCTCCTGGCAGTGTTTTGTTCACTTGTAGATAATAATCTTACCTCAATCAAATATTATAGTCTTATTTTTTTTTATGATGGCTTAACCAAATTTTTCCAAAAAATGCCTGATAATATAGTGGGTTGACATTTATGCGCAGTTGCGCAAAATAATGTCATGTTATCTTCTAACTGAAAACACTTTGCTCTGGTGTCCTGATTCCTGCAGACTAGGTGGGAGTCGGGATTGGGTAGAGAGGACTGCCAATAAAGGGTTAACTTGATCCTTTTAGGCTTAAAGGAGTTTTTGTGGGAATAAATATTCCATTAGTTCAAAGGATCAGCCTCTCAAACTGTTTCTTCCCTTTTTCTTCTTTCCAAGGCCTCCAGATATAGGAGAAAGCTTCCCTATCCCGAGGGAAGCAAGCAGAGGGGGAGGGCATCTCAGGTGATGGGCATGGTTCATATGCCTGGAACCTGCTTGCTCACTGGGCATGCTAGATGGTACCTAGATAAGGGCCACTGCTTCTGCTCCTTCAGGGTGCAACGCTAGGGCCTGCCCATCTTGCCATAGTCCCCAGCTGATGATCCTGTATTTTGTGGTCTTGCCCTCTTCATCAGTATCCTGGGGTTCACCAATCTTTGCTGTATCTCCGTATACTCCTGGGGGCCCTGTGCCCAGCCAGTTCAGCCTCAGTGACCACTACTAGTTTCCACCACATGCCTTAGTGGGGGGTGTGGGCGGGTGGGGGAGTTGTTGGGGAGGGATGGTACAGAATGGCAGAATGTGGGTTTTCTCTGAGAAACTGACATTTTCCCTCACACAGGTCTGGGGAAGCTCCAGCTCCCTGCTCCAGAGTATCACTATTGAACCTCTAGGGAGTAGAAGGTTATATAAAATGAACCAGATAGTTTGAATAGATGTGAAATATCATAAGTGGAAGAGCCACAGGGAAACTAGGAACTTGGGATTGTCAGAGACGCAAATGCATTGATCGAATATCTCAAAAACATCCAAAGTAGAGCAGAAACTCATAAACAAGTAAATACTGCATGAATAAATCAGGAAGTCATGGTACTCCTTACTTTACATGCAGATTAGCACTGAGGGACTCTGGATATTATCAATCACAGTATCACAGGCATCTCTCTCTGTACCTTGGTTATCCATCTTGTAAGTCTAACCTCATGGGGTATATTCTATGGATTTATTACCATGATTTTTAAATTTTATATTGTTTCATTATGTTATAAGTAACTATTTGAATAATTATACTGAAACACCTTCTTTATTAAATTGCCATTGAGAGTCTACTCAAAGACCATACTGGATCTGAGAGGATATAGTATTTTATGCTTCCATTATGCTGACCAGGATCCAGTTCCATACCAATGCAGCTTGTGCTGCATTACAAAATAAGATTGTATTGTATGTGAAAGTACTGAATAAACTAAAACTAGAGCCTCCTTGGTGGAGTAGGGTTTAAATCTCAGTGCTCTCACTGCTGCGGCCTGAGTTCCATGCCCAGCCAGGGAGCTAACCCATCTATGGCACAGCAGACCTCTCCTGGCTCACCCACTGCTCCCCGCACCATGTATTTCAGTAAATCCACCTGTTCTGCTCCCCACTGTCTCTCTGGGGAATCCTCTCATCCCTCACACCTCTGGCCCACACCCCCTTTTTTTTTTTGGTTCTTTAAAAAAGAACCAAAAGCCCTCCAAATATCACAAAGTAAACTAAGGTTACCTGTAAGTCTATGAAAACGGTATGATAATAATAATGGCCTTTTTCATTACTATGAACACAATAGTAGGAATAGCATGAAAGCCAGGGAGTCTAGTTCATTGGTCCTCATTGGTGAGGATTACGTTGCTAACAGCACTGACCATGACTGAATGTCACTTTAAATTAATGTAAAGGTAACACTCATATCACAATTATTACCATTAAAGAGTGAAAGGAGAACTTTGACTCCTTATATTTCTTTGACCCCCTTATATTTTTTCTCATTTGTATTGTTTTGTCACGGTGATATAGTCATCAATTGCTGCTTTTTTTAAAATTTAAGACATTTTAAAAAGGAAAAAAGAATCCTGGACTCTAATTTGCATGAAATACTATGTGTAATATTTTATTAAATAATCCTTGTCTATAAGAACATTGAGGAAACATCAATTTACATGATTTGTTACAAAGTCTGGAAGTTTGACTGCCAAATCGAGCCACCACTGTAATAGAATTCCATGTGTGGTTTATACTTTTTACCCTTCAAAATGCTGTTCATGTCCAGGCTGCACTGGCATTTCTTTAGCATGTGGGACATTAGTTCTGCGTAGGGTGCTGTGCTGGGCACATCCATATTTGTTATCACATTGTCTTCACCGGAAATCTTGGACATAAAGTGTTACTGCACCTTCAGTTAGCCATCTGAGGGAATCAGAAGGGGTCCTGGTACTTTGGGCATTGACTGGCCCTCGTTCACTGCTCACCTTACTTCTTCCTTCCATCAGTTCTGGGGTTTTCAGTTTTGCTTACTTGCTCTTCAGTGGGCTTTGCCCTGTTTTCTCATGAATTCCCCTTCTGAAACCAAACCAAATCAGGGAGGTAATCTGACGTCTCAGAACTATGGGATGGTCTCACTCATAGCAGGAATCTAGAAAACTTAAATAAGGGACCAGGAAAATGAATATAAGAAAGTGAAAATCAAAATCAACAAAAAACTATGAACCAGAGACACTTTTTGGGGGGTGGGGGGCGGGAGGGGAAGGATTGGGATCAGAATGGGGCGTTTGCAATTGTATGGGGGAATATAAAAATAAAATTTAAGATTAAAAAAAAAAAAAAAGAACTATGGTCTCATGTTTTAAACATGAGTATTTAAATACTCACTCTGTGGGGAAGAATTATGGAAAGGTTTTCAAGATTATATATAATAAATGGCAAAGTTTTGCCTTTTTTCATCAGTGACAATTATTAGTACCATCAAAGTCTTATTAGTTATATGGAGCTTTTGACCATACCATTATTTTGCACAATAAAATTTTTCAGATATCTTGGGGGAGAGGGATAGATCCTCATGTTTTTAAATGTTTTCCTCTACCAAAAATTATTTCTGAAATGTGCTATATACTTCCTTGCCTCCTTAAATTGAATATGCTGATCATTTAAGTCATTCTAGATAATGCAGATTCAGGAAAAGAACCCTAAGTATTGTGTTGTAAATGTAGATCCATCCTTACTGGGACTGTGAGCAAATGCAACTCTCTTGTTTCTTAAAAAGAACTTGTGTTTTTAAAAAAGCACAATCATATATTAGCTTTTACCTGTATTACTAAATATTACAGGGAAATCTCCAAGAAATTGATTTATTTATTTCCAAGAAATATTCCAAGAAATTTACATGGATAACAATATAATTAATCAGTAGGAGAAAAAAAAATGGCTACAATTACTATCAAATCTTACCAAATATAACCCAAACTCAAGACATAGGTAAGAACAATTAGGATCCTGTCTCTTGTTTTTCTTTTAAATAAACCTCCTTAAAAACAAACAAACAAAACAACAATAACAACAACAACAAAAAAAAACTTGTATTCAGCTTATATGCAGGCCCTCTACTTTTTCCATTTTCCTTCTTCTAAGAGAGAATAAAACTTGACTTATGAGACAATGTGACGTGGTTGTTCTTTGGCAGGGCTTAGTTAATGAATCAGAACTGCAGACAGCTTTTTGGTCAGTGTTTGTGCATTTAGATGAGTCACAGATATGAAATTTCACATAGCCTTCACTGGGGGTCCTCAGCCCTGCTAGCCCCTCATTACTGAGGCTCTCTGGGGGCTCTTTCGAGACCCCTCTCCAGGGATATCCACTGTGCACACTCCCAGGCTCATTTTTCTCTCTCTTTGGTCTACTTCCCAGGGCCATCTAAATCCTCTAAGAAAGAAACTATCTTGTTATCCTTGAATGTTCGGCACATATTGAATATAATATCTGGCTTATATCATCTTTACAGTAAATATTTGTTGGATGAGTAATGAATGGTTAAATAATAAATGAATGGTTAAAATTTGAGAAAAATTGGGAAATATTTGAATTTGAAATTTGTACCAGAAAACAGACTAAAAAAAATTGCTGTAATCAACTGAAATGCTGAACTTTTAGATTCCTTGATATTTAAGATGACAAAACTAACCACAGAAATTCTCTGAACCTTACTTTCTCATAAAGGAAGTTGGTATGAACTGATGTATGTTCCTCAAAATTCTTATGTTGAAGTCATCACCCCCAATACCTCAGAATGTGACTGTATTTGGAGAAAGGATCTTAAAAATACCCCCAACCTTTGATCTTAGATATCCAGCTACCAAAATTGTGAAAAAAAATACATTTCTGTTCTTTAAGCCACCCACCATGTAGTGCTTTGTTTTGGGAGCCTTAACATGCTAACAAAGACATAAAATCATTTTTCTTTGTGTGCAACCCTGAGATGTATTTTAAACAAGCATTTCACTTAAGCAGAAATAGCTGATACTGTGTGCCAGCATCTTTAATAAGATTTGGAAAATATGTGACATAATGTTCATGTGATGTGTGTTTATATTATATATGTGTATATATACATATATATAATATATAATATACACATATATGTATATTATATATATAATATACACACACACTGGCCTTTCCTAACAGCACAGGTTGTCATATATAACCTCAACTTAAGAAGAATATTTTTCTTTCTATTCAGAACACTGCTATCATCTTCACAGTTGCTTAGCTGTGACCTATTTATGCATCAACCATGAATTTCCACATTACAAAACATCTTATGCACATATTTTCTACTTGAACTCTGGCCATGAAACATATAAGAAAAGGATTCCTTTTGGGGGAAGGTTTATCATTGTCATTAAAAAAAGATGCTGTTTTTGCTGACATGACACCAGGTCTACAGGAAACTACAGTCTACTTTAAATCCTTTTTAGAAAAATAAAAGGGCAAAAGCAAATGAACAAAAACAGAATGATCCAACAATTCTACTTAAGAATATATCTCCAAAAGATTGTGAAGTCTGAATTTGAACAGGATTATGCATGCCCATGTTCATAGCAGCATTTTGTTGGAATAGGGTTTCAGACACAAGTAGCAGTTACCAGCTCAACTTTCCTATAATAATACAGCCCTATCCATCCTGTATATAGCCTGTGTATTGTCTTCGTGATGGATCAATTTTCCCTTGAAATGCCTTTTACATTAATATTTTATAATCTGAATAACTCCATGTTCCATAAGCTGTGTCAGTGAATTAGCATCTAGGAACAAAATGGTAAAATCAACCTCTTTTGAGAGTTCACAGTGGTCTCCAGTGAAGCAGGTACGCTGCCCTCATGGATACCAGGCATTTTGACTTCCACTGAATTAAGAAAAAAATCATGTAGTCTGTCCAAGTACAACCTTCTTGTTTACAAGTCAAAGAGAAATATGTAAGCCCTATACAAGACAGCAACATCTCAACTGCTGTTCTTCTGAACTGTCCTCACCTCTTTTCTTGTCTGGTTCTTCTTATTAGTCTCCTGTGTCATGTTTATCCACCTACAGGAAACTAGAGCCTACTTTAAATCCCTTTTGGAAAAATATAGGGCAAAAGCAAATGAACAAAAATGCAAATTAGAATGATCCAACAATTCTGCTTCAGAATATATATCCAAAAGAATGTAAAACCTGAATTTGAACAGATCATGCACACCCATGTTCATAGCAGCATTATTCACAACAGTCAAGAAGTGGAAGCAACCCAAGTGCCCACTGACAGATAAATGGAGATTTTGTGTATATATAACATTGGGTTATTGGGAAAGTTGTGGCATATTTTTCTATGCAAAAGTGTGTCATGACTTTTCCAACAACCCAACACACACACACACACACACACACACACTGGAATATCATTGGATCCTAAAAAAAAGGAAATTCTGAAACATGCTACAACATGGATAAATCTTGAGGATATTAACCTTAAGCCAATCACAAAAGGATAGATGCTGTATAAGTTTATTTATATGAGGTACCTTGAATAGTCAAAATATTAGAGACAGAAAGTAGAATGGTGGTTACCAAGGGCTGGGGATGGAGGAGCTGGGGAAACATTCAGTGGGTCCAGCATTTCAGTTTTGCAAAATGAAAAATTTTGGAGAGCTGTTGACAACAATATGAATGTAGTTAACACCACTGAATTGTACAACTAAAATGGTTAAGATGGTAACCATTTTATTATTTATTAATTTATTTTAAAACATTTTTATTGAAGTATCATTGTTTTATATCCTTGCTAGGTGTAGTCACTGTAGCCCTCCCACCACCAAAATACCCACAGTCCTCCACCATAATCCATTGTGCTCTCCTCCAGCATCTCAGTTTACCTTTATCTGACTCTTTGTTTGGTTTATCTGTATAACTACAAAAATTACAGATTAGAAATAGAAGATCTGCAAGGGGGCTAGGTCATTAAGAGAAGGCTTGCTGGTAGTGACTGATGACTTTCTGATAGCAGCAAGTGACAAGCAGTAGCCAGTTAGTAAAGGAGGAGGTGAAGGGAAGCTTTGATTTTATAGTTTCTGAACAGAGAACCGGGGCTGGTCTCTGTGCCTCCAACAACGACTTTAAGGTGGTACTAGACCTCCATGTGGTTGGCAGAATATGGAGCAATGCAATGTTTATTCGTGATTGGTGGAAGTATAAACCAACAGAACCAGTTTAGAAAACTTGTTTCCTGAAAGAGTGTTCTCTATAAATCAAACATTGCCATTCTGCTAATTCCGTTTGTGATAAACTTGTGCATTTCCTGGAAAAGTTAAGGAATTTGTTTCATAATAAAATTCACCATCTGGTACAGTTGAGCATTTGTATTCCTAGCAATTCTGTTCCTAGTTTCTAAAGAAATTCCTGCACGTATGTACCACGAGACATGTCCAAGAATATTCATAGCAGTATAATAGTTTTAAAACCTAAGTTGTGTTTTGATAGGATGAATAGTACAAATTTAATGGTACGTTATAATGGAATTAAGAGTGCCTGTAAGAAAGATTCTTTGGTTGATTGCTATTTGAGAGCCCATTTTTATGAACTGTTTTGGTTTACAGTTAGCATTTGAACCTCTGTTTTTTTGTTGGTTTTAGTTATGATTGTATAGTTATAACAGTAACATGTCAATATGAAACCCTTTCTTTGTTGTTTCTTTTGGGATTTAAAGCATCTAAGTCAAGATCTGGAAGACTCATCATGTTCTTCAACACAAGGAAAATTTAACCGAGAGCAGTTTTACAAATTTATCATTTTTCCTGGCAAGTGGATTAAAGTCTGGTATGATCGACTTACCTTGTTGGCGTTACTTGATCGGTAAGCCACTGGGCATGCAAATGTACAGATGAAAGAAACATTGGGGTTTTAAGAGTGTGCACTTGCCTCTTATAAAAGGAAAGTGGCCTTTTGCTGAGGTTCTGTGGAACATTTTCAAGTGCTACACCTTTGGTGCTGCAAACCTTAAGTTGAAGCAGTGAGATCTTGACAACTGAAGAAATTGTAATTTAGCAATGAAAATGGGAGAGAGGGAGATTGGGTAGCATGGTTTAGTGCAAGGTTAGCTTTGGGATCAGTACTATTCCTTATGTGTCATTCTGTGTACTGCTTGCCACGTTTTTGTAGAAAAGCTCAGGGTTCCCTTCTGTGGCAGGGGTGACTGGACTGCTTTTGGCTATGGGGAAAGGAGGCAAGATGAAATGGGATATTTTCTAGTTCTGCCCTTTGACCACTTTGATTCTGTCTGTCACTCCTGTCTGATATACATTAAGTTGAATGTTAATCATTCCTTTAAAAACTATGTTTACTCTTTCACCTTTTATTGCCATTGTTTCTTTTTCTTTTTTCTTTTTTAAATATTTATTTATTTATTTATACAAGCACTCAGTACAGTCAGAAGCACGGGAGGGTGAGAGGATTCACCAGAGCCAGAGCGGGGAACAGAACAGGCAGACTGACGAAATACACTGCTGAGGGGAGCAGCGGGTGCAGCAGGAGAGGTCTGCACGTCAGGTGGGACCTGGCCGGTGGCCGGGGATTGAACCAGCACTGCAGAGGCTGTGGGCAGCTTTGCAGCCCAGCACCCAACCCCTGCGCCACCAGGGGAGGCCCTATTGCCATTGTTTCTTAAGATAAGATGTTGTTTCTTGGTGGGGAGAGGGGATTAGAGATGGGACTAAGTAGGAGTCTTCCCTTTACATTTTTCTATCCCCTCACCCCAACCCTAGCCCACTGAAATGAACAAAAAACCAGGATTATGATCTTCAAGGACTTTGTAGTTCTGACTGGGGTGTTGGTTTGAAAATTCAAGATGCCATTACAAATGTTGAGTTTCACAGTTAAATGCCAGCCAGTCAGGTGGTGGAAAGACTGGTTGTCTGTTCTGCTCTAGTTGGTCCCCCAGTGACTACTTGTTATAGTAATGTCTTAAATGGTGTGATCACATACTAAAAAACTATAGTCATGCAAAATTACAACAGTAAATTTCAGGACCCACAAGTCAGAGAATGGAGTTATAATGGCTTTTCTAACAACACTATGTTACCCAAGGGGGACACACTTAAGATGAACATTTCATACTTAACTAAAATAATCCAAGATAATACAGTCTGTTAGATGAGGCAGATTTTGAAATATTAATTTTTTTCTGTTAAAAAGGAATAATTTTAAGTTAGGCTGGCTTGTGTTAACCCTTCATGTTAAAAACAAGTGTTTCCTTAGATTTCTAGTTTTGTTATTTTGAAATCCACCAGGTCACAAAAAGTTGACTGAAAAATCAAATTAAGGCCTAAAAGAAGATGATGAAAATTATTGCACTTTTAAAAGGTGTATGGTTTATAGTTTTAATCACTCCTCTAGTAAGTCATGTGGATTTTCAATTTTGTGTCCAGGATGACATAGAGACAGCCCCACCCTGGTATCCCTCAGACCCTAGGTTTTGGGGATTCCCCCAGGGTCCATTCCAGTCTCTATTACTTTCTAGTGTTCATGGAATGACTGTGACACTGTTTTGTGCAGGTTTTCTACCTGTTAAGTGGAGAAAAATCTATACTACAGGGAGGTTGTGAGCATTAAATCAATTTAGCCATAGATAGAGTTCTTTATTAGTTACTGTAATAATTATTCTCTGAAATGTGGCCTAGAATCCAGAAAGAAAAAAAAAATGAATAAATAATAAAATTAGGGTAGCCACAGTAGATATTGTCAAACACAGCCAGTAAAATTTAGGCCCTTAATTCATCGAGGGAATCACTGTTTATTCAGAGCCCTTATCAGCCTACTTTCAGTCATCTATTAGCAAGCTTGATGATCTGGTTTTCCAGTTCACAGTCAATTAAGAGGGGAGAAAGGGACTGCATGAACCCCCAGCTGACAGCAAGGAAAGAGGAAAAAACCCAAAACACTGACCTAGAAAAATGGAGCAGCTTGGGACCTTTGCAAGGAGACTATAATCCCCAAATAGAACAGTGGTTCAGAAACAATTGGGAGCTTTATAGAAATACAGATTCTCAGGTGTGAGATGTCACCCCATGGCGTGGCCTGGAGGACAGTTAGGGCTATATTAGAACATAGCTCACTGGCACACCGTCCTAGCAAGACCATGATGATCTAAATGGTCTTTTTAGGAAAAGAGGAACTTACACTATGAACTTCAGGTATTCTGCTAAGATAAAAGACATAAATAAATTATCTTTGGTATTCACTGGGGGGCAATACAGTCTCACATGAATTACATAACTTGAATTGTCAGATTGAAGTTTAGCAAGAAAAAGTATGCAAAAAGGATTGGACAGGAAGTAGAAGATAATGGTGAATGGCAAATATTGAAATGGAACTAATCTTTGCTATAAACTCTCATAGTTTAAGGCCTTCAGCTTTACTCTGGAATTCAGACTGATCTTCCTCGAAATGTTTCCTTTTATTCTCCGATCATATCTTCACAGTTTCTATAATTGCAGCCTTTTTTCTTTGTCATTCAATTTGTCATTCATCCTACTCATATATTTTTGGACCTGTCTTTGTTCTCCTTTCTCTTTTTATCTAATTTTCTATTCTGCATTACCCCATGCTGCAAAACACCTGGTATTATTTTCATTTATCTAGTTTATCAGGTGGTCACTGGAAATAAGAAACTGTCCATCTGTGCATCATTTTATTCATTCGGCAAATTAAAACAAAACAAAACCAAGCACCTACTCTATGCTATGCTCTGTACTGGGCACTGGAAACAGAGTGATGAATAAAATACATGTGGTCACTGCCTTTGTGGAGTTTGCATTTTACTGGGGAAATAGGCAAAAATGACAAAATGTAATAGTTGCTATGAAAGACGCACATCAAGATCTGAAAGAGAAGCTGGGAAGGAGGGACACTGTTGACAGAAAAGATGGTTGTAGAATACTTTTCTGAGGAGGAAACACAGTTGACACTTTTTGGTCCCCAAAAAGCTTTTATAAGTTTTTCAACTTGAATATCAGAATATTTGAGTTCTTCACATTTTTATACATCTCTATAAAAATCTCAGTTGTATGGGAAAAAAAAATAATGCTCAGCTATGAAAAAGATGAAGTGTTGCCAATTGTGACAATGTGGATGGATCTGGAAGGCATTATACTAAGACAAACACTATATGATTTCAGTCATGTAGAAGATAAAGAAACAAAACAAGCAAATAAACAAAAATCAAATAAAAACAAAGTCTTAGATTCAAAGAACAGAATGGCAGTTACCAGAAGGGAAAAGGACTGAACTGGGTGAAATGGATAAAGGGGGTCAATTTGTGGTGGTAGATGGAAATTGAACTTTTAGTGGTGATCATAATATAGTACACTTGAAAATTATAAATCAATGTTATGTCAATAAAAAACTTTAAAAATGGACAAATGATCTGAACCACTATCCCAGCACACAGATGCCCAGTAAGCATATGAAAAATATTCTGTTAACCTCTATCAACAGGGAATTGCAAGTCCACATGACAGTGAGGTAATTCTCACACCTGCTGGAATGGACTGACAGTACCAAGTGCTGACAGGGATGTAGAGCAACAGGAGCTGTCTTTTATTGGTGGGATGTAAAATGGTATAGATACTTTGGAAAACAGCGTGGCAATTTCTTATAAAACTAAACATATTTCTTTTTTTCCTCACATTTTAAAAGGAAAAGTTTATAGGAAAAGGGGAAAGAAAAAGAAAGGCAACTGCGTGGTCACAGGCAGGCAGAAGAGCTGCCTAAAACTAAACATTTCCACACTATGGTTTAGCAGTCATACTCCTTGGTTCCAACAACTTGAAGACCTAGGTTCATGCAAAAATCTTTATGCAAATGTTTATAGAAGCTGTAATAATTGCCAAAATTTAGAAGCGTTCAAGATGTCCTTCAATGGGTAAATGGATGAACAAATCATAGTGCATCTGTACAGTGAAATATTTTCCAGCACTAAAAAGAAATGCACTATCAACCCATGAAGAGATGAGAAACCTTAAGTGCATATTACTAAGTGAAAGAAGCTGACCTGAAAAGGTTACATATTGTATGATTCTAACTGTATGAAGTTCTAGGAAAGGCAAAGCTCCAGATGCTGTAGAAAGATCCAGTAGAAAGATAGGTGGTTACAAGCATTAAAGGAGCAGGAATGGAGGAACAAATAGGCAGATCACAAAGGATTTCTAGGGCAATGAAAATAGTCTCTGTGATACCACAGTGGTGGGTATATATAAATGTGTATATTAGTGTGGATATCACTATATATTTTTCTAAGCCCATAGAATGTACAGCACCAAGACTGAACCATAATGTAGACCACAGGCTTTAGTTGATAATGATGTATTAATGGTGGTACAGTGATTGTTAACAAATGAAATACTCTGGTAAGGATGATGGTGGTGAGGGAAGCTGTGTTTGGGGGGGGGTGCTATGTGGGAAATATTTGCACTTACCCTTCAGTTGTACTATTATCTAAAATTGCTCTTAAATTCAAGTCTATTAGTGCCTGTATACTAGGAATGAAGTAACTAGTTGTCCTCGTGTGAAATCATAATTTAATGGAGAGACCCGTGTACATAAGCAAAAACTGGTGAGGTTAAGAAACATACTCAATTCTTGTCAATGTCCATCTAAGCTCCTGATTTTGTGGTCCATTCACGTGATCTTCTTTTACTCTAAACCACTCCTTCCCATAAATTCCTCCTGCATCCTGTCCTCTGTAACGGGGCAGGGGAGAGGCACCCCAAAACCTGTCTGCTCTAAATAGGTTCTGCTATCCACCGCATCAAGACAAAACATACTGTAGTGTGTAAGACCTTTAATGGAAAGAAACTTTAAATAATTAGTGTGTAATACAGAAGAGACAAAGTATTAAGTTTCCAAATCATGCACCCAAATTTACCCATCCCCTCGTGGGAACATGACCAGCCAAATATAGTTGGCCCAAAGCAGGGTCACTGAGGCCCAAAAGCCTGCCACAAGTCTAAATAAAGCACCTTCTCGTGGGGATCCATAGAAAAGGATCAGAAACAGACAAGTCTGGAAGGAAAAGAGCAAAATCAAAATCATGATAAAAGCTGCCATTGTTAACCTCCCCATGGGTCTCTCACCCACATCTGTTTCAACCAGTCCAAGACGAAGAAGCAAGTTCGGCTTCTTCACATGTCTCTCTGCTCCATGTGCCTCCTTCAGGTCTCCTTCTTGCTCTCCATCCTGCTTCCTTCCTTCCCCAGTCTCCAGCTACTTCTCCCTGCTCAGCTCTACCCTCCCTTGGGTGGGGCAGGAAACCTGCAACCTCCCTTTTTCCTGGGGACCACCCTGTTCCACTCCCGTAGAAGTCTTCTACTTCTGATGTCAAATCCTAGACTCTGCTGATCCTTCATTTCCTGCCTCAAAGTTTCCCAAACCATCTGTAGCATTTTGACCTTCTACTTTCTCCTCTCTAGAAGCTCTTCCTGTTTTCACTTGCATCCCCATCGTACTTAGGCTCCATGATCCAGTGTTTTGTGTATAGGTCCCTCTCCATTGAAATAATACTAAGGGTTAGAAATGCTTGGGGACACTCACCTGGGCCCTGCTGAATTTCCCATAGACCTTTCTCTTTTTTAAGTCACTATTTCAGTTGCACCAGCCCTGAAAGTTCTTAGAATTGCAAGATGCCCTTCAGCAAAAACTATCAGAAATCTTTGAAGAAAACAGTTTATACTTACAAGACCTGGAAATTATACAGCACACCTGGGCCACAGTGCAGTCTTGGGGAACTCCTGGGGTAGAGAATGAGAGAAGGGACCAGGAGTCCTGCCTTTATTGGGGTCCACAATGGGGGGTTTAGGCTTTCTTAGGCTTGCTTTATATTGACACCTTTAAATCATAAGAGCAAAAATTTAAAGCAAGGAAAGAGAGACGAAAGTAGTGTTTGTCACAACTGTCTAGTTCTCTAAATCAGTCCAGATCTGTAAAAAACAAAAAGCTTGGGGGAAGGGGAGTTGGAGCTGGTTTTCTTTTTTGGAAATATTTAGTGAATTTACTCAATTGAAATGATAAGTGATACGACTGAAAATATTAAATATATACAAATGTCAGTATAAATTAGCTAGCTCCATGAACATCTCCAGTTAAGCATTTATACAATACATATCCATCTTTCTCTTTATGTAGGAATAACAGACATGACATGACATGAAGATTCTGGCAAAAAAAAAAAAAATCAAAGATATTGAAAATATTCTCAAGTTTTAAAAATGGTGTGGGGATAATTTTAACAGCAACATTCTATATGAATGAAAACCCTGATTTAATTTGTGAATTTTATTATGCCTGGAACATGGTTGATTTTAATTTTCTTAGAACAGATATTGGTATCATATACATTGACTTATTAATAATTATGATATTTTGTATGCCCAGTGTCTCCATATAGGCAAACAATTTTAGTATTATTTACAATGATTTTTTTTAAAGATTATTTATTTATCTATCTATTTATTTATTTATATATACAAGCACTGGGTACAATCAGAAGCACGAGAGGGTGAGAGGATTCACCAGAGCCAGAGCGGGGAACAGAACAGGCAGACTGATGAAGTACACTGCTGAGGGGAGCAGCGGGTGCAGCGGGATAGGTCTGCCGCACCATGTGGGACCCTCGCCTGCAGCCAGGGATTGAACTGGTGCTTCAGAGGCTGCGGGCAGCTTTGCAGCCCAGTGCTCAACCGCTGCACCACCGGGGAGTCCCTACAATGATGTTTTAACTTTTGAAGCCTTTCAACATAAGAAAAGAGCTGCACACATTTCAGTGTTTTTTTATAGAACCCCATCTTTAAAAGATGATTGATCTTGTGGTTCCTGTAATAAGTCCTGTCTTATTCTTTCAAACAGTACATATTATTCTTATGCAGGAAATTATTAAGACCCAGTAGTCCTTAAACAGTGCTCTCAAATAACCATATAAATCCCAATGCAATGAAGGGAACAATCTTCCTCCTGCACTTTCATCCCACTGAAGTTGCTCCTTTCAGATACTTTCCCGCTTCAGTGTGAAGTAGATGGTTAGAGTTTCCTTAGTGTTTTCACTGTAGCTTCTTAAGCAAAAAAAAATATATATATATATATATATTTTCATTTCTTTCACAGTTCCATTCTCAGATGATATATTTTTTATGGAAATCATACAACCCAGGAATGTTTTAAATAACCAAATGCTCCTGTGCTCACCAATGGTTTATAGAAAGAAAATCACCACATCTCACTTGACTGCTGTGCAGTCTTATTGCTTCTGGTTTAAAAAGTAGTGGTTAAAGGGGCCTCCCTGGTGGCACAAGGGGTTAAGTCTCAGCAATCTGAACCTATCCGCAGCTACTGCAGCAGGAGTTTTCTCCCCGGCCAGGAAACTAGCCCACATGGTGCAGCAGACTTCTCCTGTCCCCCCTGTTCTGCTCCCCACTCTGTCTCTGGTGAATCCTCTCACCCCCCTCCCCGTACCTTTGGCTTACACCCCTGTTTTTTTCTGCATACATAAATCTTTAAAAAAAGATTCTATTTCTGTTGAAGTAGAACTGGGTTACAGGCCAAAGGTGTTGGGAGGAGGGTGAGAGGATTCACCAGAGACAGAATGGGGAGCAGAACAGGTGGATCTACTGAAATACACTGCTGAGGGCAGAAGAGGGTGAGGCAGAAGTCTGCTGTGCTATGTGGGTAGCTCCCTGGCCTGCTGGGGATCGAACTTGTGCTGCAAAGGCTGCTGATAGCTTTATAGTGCTGAGACTTAACCACTTGCGCCACCAGGGAGGCCCAAATAAATCTTTTTTTTTTTTTAAAGTAGTGGTCAGAACTATTATCCAAAACAGAAATTATAAATGACAGAAATATTCAGATTTTAAAGCAACATTTAAGTGGATTGTGGGAACAGAAAAACCATCTTACTTTGGTTCTAAGACCTACTGGTAAAACAACTAAGGATGAAGATGCTTATTTATTACAGTTGCCTTGAGAGACTTGATCAACTGAAAAAGAGCAGCTGGGACTTGATTCTTATCTAGTCCTGGGACTGGCCAAAAGTTAGGCCTCCTAGCAGTCAGTGCTTTTTTGATATGAATGCTTTGCAGCTAGCTTGGTTCAGGCACTTGCATTACCATAAGGAAAAGTCAGTCTGGAAGCTTACAATATACCCAACTTTCAGACCCTTTATAGCAACATCCTAAAATGTGCTTATGTTGTCACTTGCACACTCATTGGCAATGCCCCACCGTGGATAAGCCCACCTCTCCATCCCACACCTTGTCTGGAGCCCCCAAGACCACACAATAAGGCTTGGGGGTCAAGCAGACCTTCTGCATGGTCAGCTCACCAATGGAATTCTTCTGGAATTGGACTGCACCTGGAAATGAAGACTGTATCTGGAAATGATTTCCCACTCCAACCAGGTGTTAATGACTTTTAAAAGAAGCCACTGAATCCCTGGCCTGTACCCCTGTTCTTGTATGCATAAATAAATCTTTAAAAAAATTAAAAAAATAAAAAAAGCCAGTAAAGTTCTTTATCTGAAATGTATTTCACTCATAGATGGAATAGTTAATTGCCTTTTCCCAGTGAACACAGAATAGTGGTTAAGGAGACCCCACGGGATTATATTTCATTTGTTTCAATAACATAAATCTGGACTTGAAATAAGTGTTTTGTTTATAAAACACAGGAATCAGGAACGGAAGAAAACCTTAAAATCAATTTACCAAAAATAAAACCATGCTTAAGATAATACTCTGTCATCGCTGTCAGTCTTTTGGGAAGCAAATGGATATCCTTTGTTTAAAAATAGAGAAAGTACCTCTTATTTCCTTTCTTTTCTTTTCTTTTCTTTTTTTTTTTTTTTGCATAGAACTGAAGATGTCAAGGAAAACGTGCTGGCGGTTTTGCTCATTGTCCTGGTTTCCCTGCTTGGATTTCTGACATTGAACCGAGGTTTTTGCAAAGATATGCGGGTACTGCTCTTCTGCCTAGTCATGGCCAGCTGCCAGTATTCCCTTTTAAAGGCAAGATCACATCTCATTCTTATCATCACTAATGTATCCCTGAAAGCATGAGATGATGACACAGACGCTTGTGATTTCTGTTCTAGAGTGTCCAGCCGGACCCTGCCTCACCAGTACATGTAAGTGTCAAGTAACAGGCAAGTCGCTTGTCTTTTGGGCTTGTGTTGAAGATACTGGGCCAGCCAAAATCTATTCCAAAGGCTTTGTGTGTATACACACACACACACACACATATATCAATGTACATATATATTGAATATATAAATAGAAAATTTTAATAAAAATACTAATGCATGACGGTTAAGTTCAGGCTGGGTTGAGAGCATGGTGTATGTTGGCAGTAGTGGGGAGTCAAGAGTCTATGGATGGTGTTTTCTATCCGACCAGACTCGTATAAGGAAAAACCCTGTAGCCTGGTGGAAAATGGCAAACTTTTTGATCAGACTACCTGGTTCTTCCCACTTGCATGAGCAAGATTCGTCTACTCACTATGCCTCAGTTTCTCTATGTGTGAATAAGGAAATAGAAAATTTTCTCTGGGATTAAATGGTCTATGTCACATGCTTTCAACAGTGTTTGGCACAAAGCTATTGCTTACTAAATGGGGGCTGTCATAATTAGTGTTATCAGTTATGTAATCATGACTACTTAGCCAATCTCATTCTATGTCACATTTTCAAGTGTATTGTTAACTTTCATCCCCTTACCTTTGGGTTAATTTATAGTCAAGGCTCTGGGCTCACCAGTACTGATCTCTTGGTGCCCTGGCATTTTCCCATGAGCTCTGAGGCACACACAATATTCGCTGAACAGCTGTACCTTCTCTCACGGGGTGCTGAAGGACAGGCTTGTCCCAGCTCTCCCCTCTATCCCAGGTGCCCTGACCACATGCCTTTGCGCTGAGACCACTGCCTGGTGAAACTTCCTGGCACTCTGGGAAACCTGCTTTCCTTTGTCATGGTGAGCTCCTGTGGGCCCTAGAAAAGCCCTTCCCATGAAAGAAAACTTAATCTTCCCTCTATTGTGCTATAAAAAAATGCATATCCAGGATTTAGGACTGCTTTTAAAACTGTGATAGCTCATGTTTAGCTCATAGTAATTAAGAAAAGCTTATAATTGGACAATCACAAGGCATGGTTCCTATCTTGTTAAATTCCTCTGTTGCCTGTAATTGGTTTACATATAATACATCTTCTTTTATCCCAGAGTCTGAACGTCAAGATAAGTAGCAGCAGCATAATTAGGGTATTAAGATGTATTGTTGTGATTATTGTCAGAAATCTGTGTTAGGTGGTGTGCATAGAGGTGTGCAGCTCTGAAATGTTCTGTTCAAGCCCACCCCAGATGCCCCATCACCCCCTGCTTCAGTAGTAGCACTGCAGTCTCGTGTCTTCATCATTTTTCTGGGTGACTTGGGGGAGGGGTGTTGTATGCTATTAAACATTCATTTCCTGCACGTACTTTCAGGAATAATGCAGTACATGCTAGCAAAGGTGATGGTGAGTACAGCTGCATAATCTCCGAGGATGTGAATGTCCATCAGCAGGATCCTTATGTCACCGCTCTCAGCTGGAGTTAGAGTGTCTGTATGGGTCTAGTTCCGAAAGACTAGATTCGGCTGCTTCTTTATCCGAGCAAGCATATTATTAGTGAGACAGTGAAAAATGACTTATCTTACTATCAGAGTAAGACATACTCAGATCTCTAACTACTTTCCTTGCAGTAATTAATTCACTTACACAGATTTTTACAAGAATTACTCCCTAATATGAATTGGCATTTCTCTAACAGTGCTAGTGAGTAAAGAAATTTTGGTGGCTGTAAAATATTTGTCTTGCAATGTGCCCAAGCATACAGGCATTTATAAGGCTGATTTACTATACGTAGTTCATAGGTGAGCATGTCTCCAAAAGGATATGGCCTGGCGGGTCTGTGCCCAGGGACCGTTCTGGAGCCTGCCACTGCCTCTACCCTGGTTACATTTAATTCATCAGTGGCTGTCAAGTGAATCAAAGTGTTTTTCAAAACTACATTACTTTGTACATTTGGGGGAGGGGCTGTTAATAAATTCAGTCAATTCTTGCTTGTAGAGCAACTCACTGGGATTTCTTCTTTGTTTCCTTCCAAGAGCACAGAACTAGCAAGTTTTAAGCAAGTTGGTAAAACTAGAAGATAGCAAAATAAAAAAAAAATTTGGCATAACACTGTTTATTTCAGATATAGATGCAGAATTAACATAACATGCTAATGGATATTGTACAATAGACTGTGGGCAGGAAAAAAAAGGCATCTGATCATAAAAGAAAAAAGTCTAGGAAAGCTTAAAAAACGGACAGGTACATGGAGACTGGTAGTAGCAGGTTGGGCGATCACAATGTAAATTGGTTTACACGGATTTATGCATTGTTATAACCAAAACTATTTACTAATACTCACCAAGAAAGCAGAATTCAGTAGGTTGTTCCCAAAATGGGATCCCCTGTATTGCTCAGGGGCCATTCCCAGTACCAGTATATGTACTAGGTCCACTGCAGGGCCTAGAATAGACTGAGTCGTCTGGATACATTTCCATCTTTTTTTTCCTTATTTTTGGCATGATTCCTTCCTTGTTCATAGTATAAACACCAAAAACTGAGGGCTATAACTGGTTCTATGTTCTACTCATAGAACTGTGGCTACTACATAGTGAGGAGATTTGGTATCTTCAAGGTATATAAAATAATCAATAAAAATAAAAACCATTGGGGATGCTTTTTGTAAATAAGTTTTTTTTTCCCCCAACAGTTTTACATTTGCTGAAATATTGGAATAATAGAACAGAGAGTTCCCATATGCCCTGTACTCAGTTCCCCTATAATTAACCTCTTACATCAGTATGCTACGTTTGTCATAATTTTTTTTTTATTTTTTTAATTTTTTTTTTTTAATAGAGGCATGCTTTTATTTATTTATTTGTTTGTTTTGTTTATACATGCACTGGGTACAGTCAGAAGCACGGGAGGGTGGGAGAATTCACCAGAGCCAGAGCGGGGAGCAGAGCAGGCAGAAGGACCAAAGCACACTGCTGAGGGGAGCAGCGGGCGGCAGGAGAGGTCTGTGCGCCATGTGGGACCCTCCTCCGGTGGCCGGGGAGCAGCCGGGGATCGAACCGGCGCTGCAGAGGCCGCGGGCAGCTTCGCAACCCAGCGCTCAACCGCTGCGCCACCGGGGAGGCCTATACGTTTGTCATAATTAATGAACCAATATTGATATGTTTTTATTAACTGAAGTCTATACTTTAGTCAGATTTCCTTATTAGTTTTTACCTAGTGTCCTATTTCTTTCAAAGATCTCATCCAGGATACAATGTCACATTTAGTCTTCTTAGGCTCATGTGAGCTGTGACAGGGTCTTAGATTTTGTTTTTGATGACCTTGATCATTTGGAGGAGTCAGGGAATATTTTAGACTGTCCCTCAGTCGGGATTTATCTGATGTTTATCTCATGATTAGACTGGGGTGATGGATTTTCAGGAGGAAGGTCACTTTGCTAAAGAGCCATTTCATCACATCATATAGAGGATACATACTATCAGCAGGATTTACCTCTGTCGATATTTACCTTGATCACCTGGTTAAGGTGGTGTTTATCAGAGGGATAATTTTGAATGACATAAAATAATTTCTCAGCCTTCAATCCTATAAGTAAGATTTTTTTTTTAAATGAAGCACCATTATTTTACATTCTCATTATTTTTGGACAGTATAGGATTTCTCCCCTCAGGTGTCACTATAACTCTCCCACCAGCAAAGCACCCATAATCCTTCACCATAGTCCATTGTGGTCTCCTAACCACCTTGTTTTCTTTTCTTTTTTTTTTTTAAAGATTTATTTATTTATCCATACAAGAACCGGGGTACAGGCCAGATGTGCAGGAGGGTGAGAGGATTCACCAGAGACAGAGCAGGAAACAGAACAGAACAGGCAGACTGACTGACTGAAATACACTGCTGAGGGGAGCAATGGGCGAGACAGGAGAAGTTTGCTGCGCCATGTGGGTCAGCTCCCTGACCTGCCGGGGATTGAACTCGCACTGCACAGCTGTAGACAGCTTCACATCACTGCGTTCAACTGCCAGCACCACCTGGGAGGCCCCTTGTTTTCATCTCTCTTCCCGGATGCCTCTGATCTTTGGTCACTTTTTAAGGACTGGTTTTAAAATTTGTCTTTGTTTGACCCATTGTTTGGTTTCTCCGTATTCCACATATAAGTGAAACCATCTGGTATTTATCTCTCTCCTCTGGCTAATATAACTTAGCATAATCCCTTCCAGCTCCATCCATGTTACTGCAAACTGCATGAATTTATCATTTTTGATCGCTGTCTAGCTATCATAGAAGACTCATGTCTTTTACTTCCATTGAGTGAAACACTGATGAAGACTGATGAAGTGGGAAAATATGTGAAATGGGTATTGGTAGAGTGGGCTGTATCCTGAACATTGCTCTGAGGAACACTTTGATATCCATTTCAATGCCCTCTTGGTTGGACAATTGCATCTGCACATTTGTCAAGGTTCACAGATCTGAAAGTTAGGAAGTTAGACCTAAAAATAAATCATTCTGTGGAAATAGAAACTAAGTTTATGGAAACTCATTTGCCCATGTCTTTTTAATTTTTTTAGATTCTATCATTTTTTTTAATTTTTTTAAGATTTATTTATTTTTATACAAGAACTGGGGTACAGGCTAGAGGCGCAGAAGGGTGAGAGGATTCATCAGAGACAGAATGGGGAGCAGAACAGTCAGAAGGACTGAAATACACTGCTGAGGGGAGCAGCTGGCACAACAGGAGAGGTCTGCTGCACCATATGGGACTCTCCCTGGATGGTCGGGAATCGAACCCACAGTGCAGAGGCTGCAGACAGCTTCACAGTGCTGCATTCAATCCGCTCCGCCACCGGGGAGGCCCAGATTCTTTTTTTTTTTTTATTTTTTTATAATTCCCTAAATGTCTTTTTTTTTTTTTTTTTTCCAAAGATTTATTTATTTATTTATACAAGCACTGGGTACAGTCAGAGGCGTGGGAGGGTGAGAAAATTCACCAGAGCCAGAGTGGAAAGCAGAACAGGCAGACTGATGAAATTCACTGCTGAGGGGAGCAGTGGGTGGCAGGAGAGGTCTGCGTGCCATGTGGGACCCTTGCCCGGCAACCAGGGATTGAACTGGTGCTGCAGAGGCTGCAGGCAGCTTCGCAACCCAGCGCTCAACCACTGCACCACCGGGGAGGCCCTCTGTCATTTTTGATTGAGGAAAAATTGGTTTATAACACTGTATATGATTTAGGGGTATAGGTTCCCACCTCTTTGCACCTACCTCAAAGCACCCCTGTGCTCCCCACCCCCACCATTCCCTACTGGTAGCTTCCATTCTGCAGTCAGATTTATAGGGCTTGTTTTGGTTCTTTATATTTCACGTATGAGTGAAATCACCAGATGTTTGTCTTTCCCCTCCTGACTGACTTCACTTAGCATAATACATGGATGTCTTTTCAATTTTTGATTTCTACTGTGATTAAACTGAGGTAGCATCTTAATAATCAACTGTTAAGAATTACTTGACCCTTTGGTTGCTACTTATCTCCCATACTGCTTTCTCTAAAATGTGCAGGATGTGCTGGTACACACCATGCACAAGTCAAAGAGTACTTGCTGTCCAGGGTTTTACTTGGGTTCAGCTTTGTATAGAGCAAATGATGTCTCCAACCCCACCCCTCCCCCCAGCTATTCTCCCTTTGCTCCACATTCATAGGACACTGAAAGTGTATAGTTAAAAATGTTGGTTTGCTTAAGCTAAAGTGAAAAAAACTCATCAACAACCATCAACAAATGCTGCTTAGGTAAAGTAACCTACACCACCAAAAGAAACTATACATATAGTAAGCCTTTAATTAGAAGGATGAGAGTAGAGTCCGTGTTGGTAAGCTGAGGGGCTGGGCAGAATATGTGGTTATTTTTCCACAACCTCCCCAGGTAAGTAGCCCTTTTCAGCCCCTAAAATCCTTTTAATAAAAGTCGATGCCCCAGAGCTTTTATGAATGCCGCTTCCCATATTCTGTATTTGCTTGTCATGAGTGGTGGTCACATTGTATGTTTAAAGAACAGTTATTAATAAAATCTAACAAAGTTCTGTTGGGCCTAGAAGGATCCAGTGTCAGATAGAATCCTCTCCCTAGTTGTTGGGGTGCTGTTTGTTGGGGGCCAAGATTCCAGATGATCAGGGTTCGAACTTTTGCTCAGCCACTGTTTTCTGTCTGTGAAATCCGGAGCAGATTTCTTAGTTGTTATGCTCTATTTACTTTTGGGAAAATGAGAATAGTAGTATATGCTTCTTAGAGTATACTGAGGATTAGCCACAGGAATGCATTTAAAGTAGGTAGAACAGGGCCTCCCCCCCCGCTCTTGTATGCATAAATAAAGAAAATAAATCTTTAAAAAAAAAATAAAGTAGGTAGAACAGTGCCTGGGGCAGGGAAGGGCTGGGGATGCTTAGCTGTCTTGCAGTAGCTGGGCCTCTGAATGTGGCTGGATGGGTGCAGGCTCCGTGGTGAGGCAGCTCTTGACTGCCCTGTACATTGAAGAAGCTGGACATCTGGAGTGGGCATGCGCAGCCAGCTGGTGGGATGGATGTGGCTTGACCCTGGTTCAGGGGCCTCTGAGGCCCAGCTGCACTCCAGCCCCTGGGCCATTTAAGATTCTCTCAGATACCCTCACCTTCCTTACATAAAAACATTTTTTTCTTAACAACAACAGAGTTGATGTATTTGACCTCTTGGTAAGAAGGTCTTTAGAATGACCTCATCCCTCAGCCTCTTGCTCTCCACAGGCAGAGTTCCTGGAGGTTTTAGGGGCTCTCACCCCACTTTCCCTGCTCTTGACCAGAGTGTATACTGTGAGATTGTATATGCAGTGGGCTGAGGGAGCCCCAAGTGCACACAAAGACCAGCTTTTATTACACAGCCTCCAACATGCCCGGCAGCTGAGATGTGCTCCCCAATGTGTTTCAAGATTAAAAAAACAGATGGGAAATAGTCAGATACTAAGTTTCAAGTGTTTCAAGTCAAATTCACCTGGAGGAACAAGTGAAATTTTCCTGTTGGAAAAAAGCAGTCCTTGGGGGTTTTAATGATTGATTCATATGTAATAGAAAAAAATTGGGAAGCCAGGATATTTTGTTTGCAGGTGTTCTTAGGAATCAATGCAAATAAAGGTAACTTCTATGGCATGTATTAGTGATATGCTTAGGATGGTTTGGGGACTCAGAACGTCTTAGAGGAAGTGAGATGAAGCAGACACATGATGGAGAGGGTAGGATCTTTGTAAGAGAGCCTTAAGTTTTTTGTTTCATAAATTACAATACAAAGAAGTAGTCCCAGGGCCTCCCCGGTGGCGCAGCGGTAGAGCGCTGGGTTGCGAAGCTGCCCGCAGCCTCTGCGGCGCCGGTTCGATTCCCGGCTGCTCCCCGGCCACCGGAGGAGGGTCCCACATGGTGCGCAGACCTCTCCTGCCACCCGCTGCTCCCCTCAGCAGTGTACTTCGGTCCTTCTGCCTGTTCTGCTCCCCGCTCTGGCTCTGGTGAATTCTCTCACCCTCCCGCGCTTCTGACTGTGCCCAGTGCATGTATAAACAAAACAAATGAACAAACAAATAAATAAATAAATAAAACATGCCTCTATAAAAAAAAAAAAAAAAAAAAAAAAAAAAAGAAGTAGTCCCATACCCAATAAATAACATTGGGCTTGGCATATCCAAGATGAAACCTCCAACTTGTTCAAGGCCAAAGACTTTCAATTCCTAGAGAATTTATTAATAAGCTCTTAGTAAAAGGAAGAATTAGGGCAAATCAATGGTAGCTACTTAATTATATATTTTTTAAAATATCATTTTGAGAAAATGGCTTATATGCTTATGTATTTGTATACTAAGTAGCTGTCTCTATCACCCAATTTCTTTTGCTATTCACTTGATGGGAAATGCATTAAGATTTAACTTAGACTTTATTTTCAGGTTTTTTCTTTAATGCAGAGGAAGTATTCCCATACCCATTAATCTATGACCTAGTTGGATACAAAAGGAAATTTCATAAGAGTGCAAATATTCCTGCAAGACTGAGTCTGGACTCAGGGCCAAACATAACCAGTCCCCATGGACCACCTGTGTTTTCCTTCCTATTAAAAGATGGTCTCAGAATAGGACTATTTCTATTATAGAAGCGGTGGCAATTTAAATTGCATTTCTAAATATAACATGTTTGAGGCAGTGAATTTAAAAACCCACATTCAAAAATGTATCACTTTTATCTACGTTTTATACTCAAAGTAGTTGGTGAATTGCAAAGAGTACTTTCCCTTTAATATGTCTTGGTTGGATTTTTGAGCCTTATATATTGTGTATTGATTGGCGAGATATAAATTCTTCATTGACTTTTACCCTGGGAATTTGATAATATATTTTTTCCTTAGTTTTTCTATCTATTCAAGGAGAAAAATAGAAAATGTCCCTACTTCTCCTTATTGCAATATTTCAAAAGCTAAGATGAGATCTGTTAAATTTTGGACCCTTCTCAAAGTATATATAAATAGCAGGTTCTAAAAATTGGATTTTTTTCACAGTGCTACATGAAGGCCTTTTATGCAATATCTGCAGGTATAACTTTATAGCCCTATTGTCTTGCTTCCTAAAACATGAGGAAATTAAAGCCCAAAATTTATAATTCTATTTCTTATTAATAATGGAGCGCAAGTTGGACCATGAAGAGCAAGTAATGGTTTAAATTAGTTTTGCACTTGCAAATGAACAATACACTGTTGGGAAGCAGTAAAGTAGATCGAGATTCTCTCCAAGGATGGTAATTAAATTTTCAGGTAAATCTTGTTGAGTCTGAGAGGTGTAGCATTCTTTCTGATATTCTCATTCTGATTTGACAGAATAATCATTAGTTTTTTTTCCCCCCTCTTGGTGTGCATGAATTATGGTAGGTGTGTGTGTGGGGAATTGTTCTATGATCTAAGTTGTATGAAATGGTATAAATTATTGACTCTGAGGCTTTTTTCATTTAATCAGAATAAAGGTACCATTCAGAAATTGTGTTTGTTTTCTAGGGACACAACCAAATGATAACATACAGCAGACCAGTCTATTTTTGTGTGCTGTGTGGCCTTATTTTGCTTCTCGATGCAGGGGCCAAAGCCAGGTACCCTCCCACTTACGTTGTCTATGGCCTGAAGCTCTTCTCTCCCGGGTCCCTCCAATCAGCTAGGGACCTCTTAATAGGTGAGTTAATTTGGGGGTTGTGGAGAAGAATATAGGGAAGGAAGGATATGTTTCCCTTTATCTTCTCATTCCCTAATTAGAGAAACCTGGTAATTGGATGAAGCGATGGCCTGCATACCCTCTTGGCCTGCATACCTTCTGAATACTGTCTGCAAGTTGGAGCATTAGAACATCCAAGAACATAATTGGGTTTTTTTGATGATTAAATATCTTTTTTTTAATTTTATGTATTTTTTACATTGTTTTTCATTTTTGTACAATGTATGCATTTTCATCTTTGTTATAGTCCCATAAAATTCCCACCACCCTTGTTTTGATCCTACTTCCTTCCCCCTTCCCTGTAGTGTGTCTCTGGTTTATAGTTGCCTGTTGATTTTGATTTTTACTTTATTATAATTAGTCTTTTTCCTGATCCCTTATTTGAGTTTTCTAAATTCCTGCTATGAGACCATCCAGTATTTTTCTTTTTCTTTCTGACTTATTTCACTGAGCATGATCCTTTCCAGCCCCATCCATGTTCCTGCAAATGGCATGAGTTTATCTCTTTGTTTTTTATACCCATGGCCGTGAGGTTGCAGTGCTGTAACATCTGAAAAGTAGTCGCTGTGGTGCCTGGTATGGGGTGTCAGTGGGACTTCCCGGGATGGGGGTGATTTTGCTGTCAGGGCAGCAGCCACAGCCCCATCTGCATGGTGACCCATGAGTAGCCCGGTTCTTAGTCCAGGTGGAGGCCTACATATGCTGCCCATCCAGCCATTCACTAGCGCACGTTGCTCCCTTTACACAGGTGACGTGCATATTGTAAGGGCTTAAGGCCCAACTCCAGAGCCCAGATGACTGACTGGTTGAATTCTAGCTGTGCTTCTTTACTTGTGATAACTTGAGCAAAATTCAATTGTAATGTGAGGACAAAATTAGTCTCCACCTCAGAGGCTGTCTCAAACTTTACATGCTTTAGTATATATTGAAACATACAGAGCAGTGCCTGATGCCAAGTATGCACTATCTTTGTTATTAGGCAAACAGGCTGCCAAGCAAATTGCCCTGACTGGACTGTGATGTTCTGAGAAATTTTGTGATGGCCTTTAGGGATGTAAACACACGCTAACATGTGATGGACTATGATTCCTTTGACCATGTGAGCTGATGAAGACGGCTACTGAATTTGTTGCCCTGCCTCTGTGGCATGGCAACAAGAAATCCTACCCAAGAGGATCTTGCCAAAGCCTTAGATCCCCTAGCATCCTTTCTCTAGCTCCCATGGTATTTCCCTAAGTCTCTTCAATGAGACGAGGGAGGGCCCCTGAATATAGAGTAAGTTTTTGTTGTGCTGTGCTCCTTCGTTACAGGTGAAAACTGATAGACATCTGTAGTGGCTGAAAGGCACAGAGCAGGATCTCTGTGATCCTATGCAGACAGGTAAAGGAGAGTCCTGGAGCCCTTGGTGCCTTTTCAGGCTTTTATTTTGTGTTTACCAGGTACAGGACAGGCTGGGGTGCCAGGGGGCCGGGAGGCTGGCATGCCTCCCAGCCCCCAGCAAGTCTTCACTCTTCCTGGGCTCTCTGGCCTTCTCTCATGGTCTCCGCTTCTCTTTCTTCTGCTTTTTTTCCTCTCTTCTTCTCATTCTACTAGAATGAGTGCTCACTCATTTATTCTCCTGGCGTCCCCATGACACTGCCCTTATAGGCCCAGTCTCAGCCCAGGGGTACCCACCTACGTATGCCCACACCCAACTTCAGGTTCCCACCATCAGGCTTGCATAAAGGACCGCAGGGATCATCAGTCCTAATGATGGGAGGGCAGAGAAGCCTCATACTCACTTACCCCACAACATCCTACCCCTGACACTCCTTCCTGCTTCCATCCCCCATCCTCTTCCCACTGTCTTGGTAGCAAATTGCTTGCTTCACCTACACCCAACCCACCACCAGCCCAACTCTGTGTCCTCAATATACCTCTTATTACAACATGTGAGGGCTTGAGGAGCTTCTTGATACTCCAGGTTTAGGTACCATGTCTCAGAGAACATCTGAGCTCAAATAGGAAATAGAAGCATGTTGAAAAAAGAAATGAAAATAGCTCCTATGATTACACTCCCAGTCAGTGCTCTCTTACCTAAGAATATTTCTGCCCTGGCTGACAGTTTTCACCTTCCTTTTTTATATGACTTTAAAGTTCTGTCAGTTGGATCAGGCACACATAAAACGAAACTTTCAGTTTCACTGTTTACCTTCTCTTAATTAGCTCACCTATCATCCGCCTGAGACCAGCTGCAGTGGAGAACTTGAATGCACTGAGATTCTGGCTGTGGCTGCATAAACTTCTGATTCCATCCTTTTCTGTTGTCTTCTTTTTGCAAGCAGCAGTCCAGAGCTTTGCAGACAGTTGGAGTCCAGAGCTAAGGGGTATAGGAGGACCTGGGGATTTCATACCAGGGGGCTTTAAAAGATATGAGAAGATGTACAAGAGACGTTTGTCTATGTCTACATGTGCTTTTCCTGCTCTGCACCCCACACTTGGTCCTGCATGACTCCTGGCCATCTTTTCCACAATCAGGATCATGGGTGTAAGGGCAGGACAGGCCACTGAGCAGGTTTTCTATGATCCAGCAGACCAGGTAAAGGAGGATAGAGTCCTAGAGCATCCTTGGTGGCTTTTGCAGGCTTTTATTGGGATTTACCAGGTACACAGCAGGCAGGGGTGCTGGGGGGCCAGGAGGCTGGCAGGCCTCCCAGCCCACAGCAAGTCTTTACCCTATCTGGGCTCTCTGGTGTTCTCTCTGCTTCTCTCATGATTCTGCTTCTGCTGGCGTCCCTGTGATACCACCTTTAAAAGCCCAGTCTTAGCCCAGGTGAATTCCATCTATATATGCCCACACCCATTTCCAGGTGCCCACCATCAGGCATGCATTCGGGATCACAGGGTTCTGTCATCTATCCTAATGGTGGGAGGGCAGAAAAGCCTGATACTCTTTACCTTACTCTACAATGGGTTAGTGTTGGTAGACTTCCACTCATACAGGTCTCAGGAATTTGTAGCCTGAGCTATAATCCCTGTGATCCCTCCTTGTGCCTGGAGCTGTGACCTTGAGCTGTAACCCCTGTGATTCCTTTCTCTGCCATGGACCTCTGTTCTGCTTTTCCCCATGCCCTTGACTATGCCTATAACAATGGCTCATTTTCCCTTGATTTGGTACCACCTTCTATCCTCTCGCAACCCATTACTTTTCATAGTACTGAACCCATTTTGTAGTAATCAGTTTCATTTTTGATACTGGATTAATGTCTGCCTCCCTAGCTAGCTCATTGCTAAGTCAGGGCAGGGTGGAACTCCTGCCTGCTTTCTTACCACTGAATCCCCAGCTCTGAGCATAGGGTCTGTTGTATATGGCATTAAAGAAACCTTTGTGTAACAGATGAACTACTGAATATAGAATTTAAGTATCAGAGAAATTAATGTAAGGATAAACTTTTGAAATACTTCCTATTCATCAGCCAGGGAAAACAGTCATTTTTGGACCATTCAGCTCAGCCTATGAAATAAATAGGGGCCTGATAGTTTTTGTTGATTTTTCTGTGCATGAGTGTCTTCTCATTCCTGCTTTTCTTTAATATGCTACTATCAAAAAGTCAACATTGTAGAATAAATATAGTTGTCTTAGGACAAAAACTTACCATGGCTTCAGAATGTGAAATATTGTTAAGGCTCAAAAAGTAAGATCTTAATATACTTACTCGGGAAAAAAACAAAAACAGATTTTATTTTAGTAACCCTGCTCTACATTAAGCTACTGACTACGTGCACTCTTATTTTATTTTTCTTTAAATCAATTCCATGAGGAGTGAAGATGGGGCAGGGAAAATGGCACTTCTTATCTTTTCTCACTGGAATTCCTTTTCCCTCATTAAACCTTCTCCTGAATACATATTTTTGTCTGCTTGTCAACAGTGACAAGTAAAAATAGCGATAAATAATCCATCAAGCCTCCACTAAATGACTTCTGGGGTAAAGAAAAAAGGAAAAATAGAACAATAGCAGTCCCTATGGAAAGAGTGTGTTAAACATACTAATTTGCACTGAGAAGGAAAAGATCATGGTACAGATTTAGTGCAATTGGGAAAGAGGAAGGTGATAGAGGGTTATACTATTTTTCTAATTTTATGAGAAAAAACAAGGGCAATTCAAAGCCATCTATTCTTTGCACAACCCCTTCACCATCTGTCCCCTAGCTACCAAGGGATCTAAGTGGTATATAGCTGCTGTCATTTTCAGGTTGAGAGGGAAAAAGAAAAAAAAAAAATATTAGGAGAAAACAAAAGGTTATGAGGAAGAAAAAAGTGCATTAGTTTCCCCTGGCTGCCCTAACAAAGGACCACAAACAAATGGCTGGGAATAGCAGAAATTGATTGTCTCATGGCTTTGGAGGCACCAGGAATCTTAAATCTCTGATGGCTCTAGGAAAGGTCCATTGCAGGCCCCTCCTGGGCCTCAAGATGTCCATCCTCTCTCTGTGTCATCACATCCCCTGCCCTCTGTGCCTACCTGTCTCTGTGTCTGAACTCCCCTTTCTGGAGGGACACCAGCCACTTTAGGTTGGGGCCTGTCCTAATTGATCTCAATCTTCACTTGGTCATTTGTGAAGACCCTGTTTTCATAAAGGTCACATTTATAGATCCTGGGGGTTTAGGACTTCAACATCTTTTGATGTTTAAACCATTCAGCAAGGAGCAGTTAAGGGAAAGGAGAGCGAGAGACAAGAACTAAGGACATGGGAGGTCATTTACCATCTCATGGGGGAGGCGCTGTTGTGTCTCACTGTGGATGGAGTGGAGGTGGCTCATCTCCAGTAGTGCTGGAGAACATGAATGTTTACTACAACCGTGCCTTGTTGGTGCTGTTTGTGCTACCTCTGCCACTCCTGGCTTCTTCTCAGCACCATCAACCTGTTCGAGGGGGTGGAGGTATAAAAGAAGGGGCGTAGGAAAGGGACAAGGGAGAACCATGGTCTGTTGCTTTCAGCAGAGGAGCCTGCTTCCTCCTGCCTCCCAGGGCAGAGGGAACTGAATGCTTAAGACATCCGTGGGACGTGACTCCGGTGTAAACCAGGTGGGTTGGAAAGAGGGAGAACTTCCTTGTTATAGGACAGGAGCACCTTAAAAGCAAGACGAGCACATCAGATAATAGAACAGTAGAAGAGGCAAGAAATATGAAGACTGAAATTGACACAAGAAGAAAAAAGGCAAAATTAGTGACAGGGGCTGGTTGCTATTTTGCTGGCTGGGGATGAATTCAGGCAATGGAGACACTCAGGACAATTTTTTTTTGCTTTTATGATCCCTCATATATAATCAGAATATCTCTCTGGGCATTTCTCTTTCATTATCAGGAAAATTTTATTTCCAGGAGTAAGGTTAAAAAAACAACCCCTTAGTCAGTCCCCATCCCTGTGGTCCATCAGAGATTGGTGACTTCTGGGTTAGAGTTTTTATTACTTTCTTTTTGGGTGACTTCAGCAGCAGCCTATGAGTGAGACTGGCTTTGCAATGATCCTGTAGATGAGAAGGCCAAGAGGATGTCTGTTCTTAGTACCATGTTTTAAAATCAGTAGGTGCAAAGCCAGAGTGTGTCCCAAGGAAGGTAACCATGTGAACTGCCCTGGGTCTGCGGATGGGGCCAAGGCATGGGCAAGTCCAATTCAGAGCAGCAACACATGGGTGCCAGAAGTGCCCTCCACATCTCCCATCATGACAAGGCTGTCAGGGATTTTGTTCTCTGTTGCTGCAGTTATACTATCCAGCCCCAGCAGATAGTTAGGTGGATTAGAACTCACTGCAAGACAGACCTGTGCAATCATTTAAGTTAGTAGTGTGGGTTGGCTAGTGAAGCGAGGAGCTTGCTGATGTGGAAAGTGAGGACAAGACAAAAGTCCTGGGCTGCAGGATTCTGGGTTCTTTATCAAATAGCCTCTACGGCCCTTTTTGGATTGGAGGACTTGATGTTTTCTTTTGTGCATAGATTCATCACCGTGTATCTACAGTCCAGCTACAATAATATAACTCTTAAAGATAAGGATAGGTTTTATAACCTGTTACTGGAATGTACCTGTTCTTATTTGCACACTGAGACCTTACATTTCCATGTCTGTGTAAACACTTGTTTCCTGGCCTCAGTAGTTATCATTGGGTGTGTTAGTGCACAGATATGGTGAGTTGGAGACCCAAAATGTATCCATTCACATCAACTCCATAGGTTTTAGTTCTATTTCCTTGTCATTTTAATTATTCACAGTAATAAACAGTATTATTCACCTTTAACTGTAGAATTAAGCACATTACAGTATTTTCATTTCTAAAATTTTCTTGAAAAGAAATGGAACTGTACCGGAAGTTTTTGCACTTATGATAATTATGAGGGAAAAGGAGGAGTAATAAAAAGTAAGAGAAAATTATGGAGCCCCTCAGTAGTATACTAAGAAAAAAGCTTTTGCTCACAGGAGAAATTGCCAACAACCACAGGAATTGTCTTATTTTTTACTTTTGGGAAAAAGGACAAAATCCAGCAAGCTCAAGTGTGATTTTCCAAATCTCCTATGAAGGCAACAGATTTGGCTGCTTTTTCATTCACATGAACTGCAGCTTGACAGATGAGATCCACCTTGCCCTTATTCACACCCCTGGCTCTGGATTCAAAGACCAGAGATTTCCTCCTCTTGTCTTTGAAATGAGTTAGATTTCCTAACTCATTCTAGAGAAGATCTCCATCCTGGGCTGCCTTGTCTGCTGCTCATTAAGTTCTAATTCTGCCCCAGGACCAGAACATCTTCAGTGAGGACTTTCAGGTGTCTCCTACCACTTATTTCCCTCATGTCATCCTTCTTTGTGTTCCAGTTCTTTCTGCTTCATTAGTTTTGGTTCCATTGCCTAATGTACATCTTACAGCGAATAGTTCCCACCTCCGTTTTGCCAAACAACTTCCAATCTTGGGCTGTATTCAACATGATTTCACACCCAGACTTTTTCTGTAGTTCTTCATACTCAGTTTAGTGTTGTCACACACACAGCATTTGAGACAGTGAGTGAATAAAATCTGGCTGCATCTTCTCTCTGCCCCTATCCTGCCCATGTGAAATATCAAGTAGCAAATGATCTTCCTATCTGAGTTTTGAATCCTGAAGTTAAGAGAACTACTCAGTTTGCTTGAAATTCTACGGATTAAAATTTCAATCCATAACTCTGTGTTCTATAATTAAATGTCTATGTGTTACAGGGTAGGGTGAGGGGCACATATGGATTTCTTATATCTTGCCTTTCATGTCTCTGAGTTCCATTCACAAAAGCTGGAAAAAAAAAGAAAGAAATTGCATCTTATGCAGTCCTGTCTTACAGATCAGTGTCTGTTTCTGACTGCCTACTTTGGGAAATGTGTTCTTCACAGATGCTCTAGGTTTTTACAGGGTAGTTAGATCTTGCCACAGGGAAAAAAGATTATAATAAAATCATCATGTAATTCAAAATATAATTCAAATTCCAAGCAAAGGCCTGTTGATTATAGTCATGTTCATTACATAAAATTGTACTTTTGTAAAGGGTTGACATGCTTTCCTTGTATTGCCATAGAGGGGTTTGTCCCATACTTATTTTTAATTTACTACTAGCAAGAAAAAGGGCTGGGCAATTACTCTCATTCCTACAATTTCACTATGGAAAGGTTGCATTTCCAATTTCTCAGAAATGGGTGAAACACTGTCCGCTATCATCCCTACTTCTACGATTCATTGTAGTTTGTGTTAGGACATAATTTCATGTCTAGGCATATTGGATCAATTTTCCTTAGTTTTATTAAATCAAATTTCCTTAGTTTTATGAAAGTTTGCCAGTATTAAACTTCATTGACTTTCTACCCAATAAACTGAGGCAGAAAGAAGACAGATGTGCTATAGCACTGTAGTGGAAATTTCTGTATTTTCGTGAAACCTAATTTAAATAGAAAGGAGAAAGAGAGAATGATAGAGAAGTTGCTGTAAAATACAGCTCTCCTGTGTTTTATTTCCTTTAACAAATGAGCTCTGTGAAACACTGAATTACAGCTAATGGCTCTTCTGTCCAGTTGCATTGTTATGGTTTGGAGAGGCAGCACCCTCTTCCTCTCCTCAGGCAGGGCCACCTTTATGTCCCCGGCGAGCCCGTCCACCTGGAACCAGGCACCATCTCAGCATGTGGAGTTTCTAAGTTAGCCACCACTCACTCTCCCCGTTCTCCTGGAGTCCGGAGTTCTGACTGAGCTGTGGATCTCCAATGGTGGTTAGAATGTAGTAGACTTTTAGCAATTCATTTTTGCTGGAGGTCACAGAAATGCAAAGTCAGGAGGAGCTCCTTGGCTCCAATTTTTATGCCTCCCTCTCATGCAGGAAGAGATCCCCTGATAAGTATCCTTGGGTTTTGTGTGTTCCTGTGGGTTTCCTAAACCTTTTCCTCCCATCCTCACCCTCCCCCACCTCCCCAAGCTCCACAGTGCTTGTGCAAACTGAAGACCAGCCTTCCTTCTCACTCCCCACCCGGGGGGGGGGGGGGGGTGGGGGGGGGGTGGGGGGGTGTGTGTGTCTCTGCTCAGTCCTGGGCCTGTCTGCATTCCTTTCACCTGGGCCTCTTCCTTAGCAGTAGCTCCTCGGCCTTTCCACAGGCATGTTTTCAGCTCAGCCTCCAGACTCTCCTCCCAGTGGGTGAGAGGGCCCGAGTATTACCTCCAGGGTTGCAGGATGGGGTGGCTGGAGGGGAGGGAGGCAGAATTGCAGCAGGAACCCTTCCATGTACTTACCAATGATCTTGTCTGTTCACTTTCAGTATTTTTATATTGCTTCCCTGCAATTTCCCTCCTTGGACTCTTCCCACAGATCAACACTTTTTGCATTTATCTTTTGGAACAAATTGACATGCTGTTTTTTGGAGGTTCTGGTAAGTCATTTATTTTCTATTCTTCCTGCAAATTTCAGATAAGGGCTAAGGAGCCTCAGTCTTGAAATGAAAGCCTGGGCAGTTGGGGCTCTTCATCTGGAGCATTTAAAGCTACTTCAGTTTGGGTACATCAGGTTGATGGTGGGCACAACTAGATTCATCCAGCCAAACTGAAAGTGGACCACCTAGTAGTTAATGGTAAAGACACAGACAAAAAACAGGGTTGTGTAGAATTCTCTGAACATTGGAATAGCTTTGGGAACATTCTAACTCATCTTTACAAAAATGATCTGTTGTGTGGATGTGTATGAGTTCTGTGAGTGGACATAGCGTGTGGGTACCTGTCCTGGAGTATGTGTCAACGTAGGTGTATAAAAGTGAGTTTGTGAATTGGACATTGTCCGTAAGTATTGTGTGTGTGTGTCTGTACAGATATGTATCCCTAAACATCACTATGACCTTTGTTTGGTGTGACACTTACGATTCAGGTGGAGCATTACCTAGTGCTTATGTAGATTGCTTCGTTTTAAAGCTTACTCTTCTCTAAATGGAAATAAACACTCTGATCTCATAAAATAACTATAAAAGTTAAATGAAATCATATACATAAAGCAGAGAGTAGAGCAATTGATTATTATGTTATCACCACATTACACACACACACACACACACACACACTCTAGCACTTGTTCTTCCTTTTTATCTATTGATCTTTTAATCTGTCCTCTTTCTGTCTTTCCCATTTTCTCCCCCTCTCTTTCACTCCCTCTCCTGCATCATCTCCCTCACTGTCTCTCCTCTTCCTTCTGTTGAAATCTGTTTCAGTGATATTTTCTTGGACTAGCAACTTCCAACTGTAAGCAACAAGGTCTTTATTACCTCCAACCTGACAGGTTCACACGGTTTTCTAAGAATGTTGTCAAGGCTCCTCCTATATGCATTCTTCCCGAGTTTTTAACCCAACTGTCAGTCTCTTCCTGGACTAAAAGTCACCCAGTGCTTTTGGCTGATTGCATAGTTAGTTTTTGCTCCTTCAGCAGACATTTGAGTAGGAAGCCTAAAACCTTCTCTTTACTTACTTACATTTATTGATTGGGAGACTTGAGATCTACAAAGCAATTGTTCACGTTTTCGTTCCAGCTGTTTCTGGGTTGACATCAGCCGTCTACAGTGTGGCCCGGAGTGCTGCAGCAGCTGCCTTGCTCCATGTGTTCTGCTTCAGTGCGGTGAAGGTAGGTGTGAGGCCAAGGACCTTCCCCTTCTTCTCGTATTTATTCAATCAAGAAATTATTTTAGTGAGAAATGTTCTCTCTGATTATAAGAGAAACAGGATTTGAGCAGAAACAGGAGCGGCAGGATCCAGTGGGACAGAGTGGGGAACAGAACAGGCAGACGGACGGAAAACACTGTTGAGGGGAGCAGCGGGTGAAGCAGCTGAGGTCTGCCTTGCCATGTGGGTTTCTCCCTGGCCGGCCGGGCTTGGCAGATGTTAGGAGTCATGTTAAGGCATCTGATATGCCAAGAAGTATGAAACCCACTGGCTTAACATCCCCCTCACCCCCCAGATCTGTTTGAAAGGTCAGTTGATGACACTGTTTATCATGGTCGTCCATGATAAACCTCTGTGTTTGCCTTCAGTTCCATCTGAAATACCATGCAAAGATGGTAAAGGAATAAAATTTATGCATAATATGGACAGAGAGAGGATATGACAGCAACACAATTTCAGAATCTAGAAATCTGATGGGCTTATTCAAGTGGATAAAGTTGAAACCTAGGCTGGCAACAAGGGATGATGGAAAACAAGGTTTAAGAAAACAATATGTTGGATCAGAAAAGAAATGTAACTGTTACATATGCCTGCTCCGTTGTGAATACTATTTTGTATGTGATCTGAATACCAGTTATATTTATAAGGGAAGAAAGCTTTGTGTGGGTCCTTGTTTCCATTTGGTTTGGCGTCATACTCCACTGATCTGAAGAGCTTCCTTTAACAAATCTAGTGAATATTTTCAGCTTCTGTCTGAGACATTCTTTATTGTGCCATCATTTTTTGAAAATATATTCACTGGGATAGAAATCTGGATTGATGTGTTCATTTTTTCATTTTTCCTTCTTTCAATACTTTATTTTTTTTTAAAGATTTATTTATTTATACAAGAACTGGGGTACAGGCCAGAGGTGTGGGAGGGTGAAAGAATTCACCAGAGACAGAGCAGGGCACAGAACAGGCAGACGGAACAAAAACACTGCTGAGGGGAGCAGCGGGCAAGGCTGGAGAGGTGTACCATGCCATGTGGGTTTCTCCCTGGCTGGCTAGGAATAGAACAGACATTGCGGAGGCTGTGGACAGCTTCACAGTGCTGCCGGCGAGTCCCGCTCTTTCAACACTTTAAATATGTTGTTCCCGTTTCTTTTGGATTGTGTGATTTCTGATCAAAACCTGCTATTTTCCCAGTATTTGTTCCTCTACTGGTAATGTTCCTATTTTCTTTGGCTACCTTCACAATTTTCTCTTTGTCTTTGGTTCTCAGGATTTTAACAGTGATGTAACTTGGTGTATCATGTATCATGTCCATTTTTTATTTTATGTAAGGTTCCCTAAAAGGTTTTTTTTTTTTATTGAGCTTTCCAAATACTTAGCCATTATCTCTTCAGATATGTCTCCTGCCCTGTTCAGTTTTTATTTTCTTCTTGGATGATTACATATATGTTGGATGATTCAGTATTGTTCTATCTTCTGGATGCTATGTTCTTTTTATTTTCGCTTTCTTTTTTCCTTTGGAATTTCCTTTGAATAGTTTTAGTGACCTATCTTGAAGTCTACCAGTTCAGATAGAAAAATGTCTTATTGATGGATTCCTGAAGTTAATATAAGGAAGCAACATCATGGGCCTACCTAGTTAAAAATGGTATACTTGAGACAGTGGTTTTCTCTTTTGCACTCTTTATGCACCAGTATTCCTCCCCATGAGTTAATCGAATAAGCCTGCTGCTTCCAAGATGGTGAGAATGGCCAAATACTACCAGTCCACAGATGTGCAAATCCAGATGTTATGTTGTCTGCCAGCCTTGTGGCCTGCCCCTACCCCAGCCCTCTTGCCTCTGATTCCCTGATTCAGGTGACGTCAGAAGGGTGTTAGCAAGACCTTTTCCTGCTTACTTTCTCAGAACTCTCTTCTCTCTCTTTCAAATGGAGAATGGATGTTGGGTCATGTGTTCAACCTCAGAACTATCTTTCAGTTTAGTTTCATCTGTATGATCAAGCATAACTTCCTCAGGGCCTGGTTTATGCACGAGTACCACACTTGAGTACCAGTGTGAATTTATGTTTCTTGCTTTTTGAATATTTTATTAGATATTTAGTGAGAGTAGAAGCTAGTTTTCTGTGTTCCTAATGCCATTTTGACCACATATTGCTTTGCCCCTCTTTGTAATCATGATATAAATCCTGAATAACAAACAGCATTTGCAGTACATATCCTGTGGCTGATGGAAATGGGAACAGGCCAGGCCCTGTGAGTGCTGCAGGAGCTGGGGGTTCACATTCTCTGGTAGTCAGTGTATATTTTTTTTGTTTAGAAATGACTTCCTTGTACTGTAGAGATAGGAAAGGGGGATGTATCAATTCTCCTCAGCAGGTTAACATTCATCAAAGATGATGCTGTGCTTTGGGTGATCAGAGAAGAAAAAATCTATCAGGGAAGGTGGTCTTTAACATGGCCTTGCCAGTCTACCTTGTCAGTGGAGGTGCTGGCCACTGAGGACGCAGTTGAGCTTGAGAAACAGGTTTGGTCAGAGTTAGGAATGAATGACCATGGCAGGTGGAAGAGGCAGTGAGGACATTAACCTGCTAATAGTGAAGAAGTGAGAAGATTAGGTATCTGGGTAGGAAGCATCAGAATTACAGACACTTTCTAATGCAAGGCTAAAATCTATTTCTGATCTGGTGGACACATTATGCATCTTAATTACATATATAAGCTGATAGCCCCAGTGGTGACAGACACAAAGGCATTAAGAAGTTCCACCAGTTAGTTGACTTTCCAAATCACTCCAAGAGCAGGCAGACCAGAAACTCCACTTCCTGATTCTCCCTCAGATGCGTTCTCATCCTCTGTCCTATTACTAATACTGCATCTGCTTGCTCTAAATCTTTGGCTTGTGCTGCACCTTTCTCGTGCCTCATGCTTTTGAGCAGGTAAGACTCACATGTAATGAAAAATAATTTTTTGAAAATAGAATCTTGGTTCAATGTATGAAAGAGAGAAAAGTCTTCCATCTTTAGGATGATTTCCACAAAGGAATGACTCCTGGGACTTCTTAGATTAATTTCTAAAGGAGAAATATATGCTGTGAAAATCCCATTCTATTTGACGAGTGTTGAAGGCTCATTACTACCAATTCAAGTATTATCAAAAATAATGTGCATTCCCGGGATGATAGCTGGGCTTTTCTTACAAAATTCTTAGAAGGTTTTGAAAACTACTGAAGAATCCAGTAATCAAAAAAAAAAAAAAAATCCAGAAATCTTTTGAATTTTTATTTAATTGTGGGACAGGTGCTATCATCCCCTTACCCCTCCAAGTCCAACTCCCTCTTCATTTCAGACAATGCTAATTAATCACACTACTTTTTTTCATTGAGGTCAGTAAGGTCTCAGGATACCCAGACAAGTAGGCAGCCAGCATGAGCTGATCAGAAGTAGCCCAAGTGATAAAATCTCTTTATAATCCTGGGCTGAGATTTTTGTTCATTTCTGCTTTCCTTTCTATATATAGTATGCTATAGGTGCAAAAACTGTTGGATCAGAGTAAGTAGATTCAATTTTGGAAGCACTCTGCTTCACTTTGTGAAAGGAATGAACACATCAAAGGCTCTGGGGTTTACTTAGGTGTTGAAACATGCTTTTTGCCAGGTAATTTAGGAAGGTTTGTTTCATCCCAAAAAGGTATTGACTTCTCTTGCTTAGCATAGAACAAGCGCCACTTGAGATAAATAGTATCGCCTTATGTTAAAGATTTCTAATGTTCTATCTATATTTTGAAATACCTTTTGGTAAAAATAGAGCAATTTGCATTTCTCCCTTCTCACTTGGAAGCCTTGAGTTTTCTAATGGTTGCAGCTTGACTCTCCACTTTAAAATGCAGTACCTATTAAATGCCATGAATTGAATGAGCATGGCCAGCAAATTGGCAAGGGGATCCTTAGGAAAAAAGAAAAACTCACCCGTCTTCAATCTACCACACTTACCCAGAGCTGTGATCCACTTCTTATTTAATGATGCTTTTGTTTATGTCGTTTGTGCTTTTTCTTTGCATTGCCGACTGGATTTTTTTTTTTTTCCTTTTATCTCCACTGTACCATGATAGATTGATGGGCCCTTGTGAATGATTTCAGCAAGTCAGCTGCCTCGCCAGAGATGTTTCTCTATATGGATCTTGATATGTATTTATGTCCTTGCTTTTCATTTTTCTCACATGATATAAACAGACTGAGGGACTGTGAGTTAATTCTTCTCTCTGGAATATTAATTAGGGGAAAAATTTATTCCTTTTTAAATTTCATATTCTCTTTGACTCACCCAAGATGGTAGCCAGTAATATATACATAGACTCCCTTATTGACTTAAGTATTTGACAGTGATGTACAGAAACAACTGGAATATTTGCTCCCTGGAGAAATGACTCAGTAGTTAATTAACTGGGATTTCTCTATGTCTGGATAAAGCATGACTGCTATTATTTTTTTTAATACCTTACAAAGAGAGTCTGTTTTATTGATGGCAAGGGGATCCAAGGGTTGAGGCACATTATTATAATTTAATGTTCCCCAAGAATCATTAAGAATGGCCTGTGGGAGCATTTTCCCTGTGTTCTTCTCGGTACTATAGTGTTGCAGCTAAAACAATAGCATTTCCCCTACATTCAGGTTTTAAAATCCAATTGCAGATATAAAACATACCATAGTTCTAGAATACTTTTAGTACTGAAATGGATATTAGCTATCCCCTATTCCAACTTCTGCATTTTATTATTAAACATGAGAAAATGAAGGTCTAGAGGGAGATTAAGTAACTTAATGTCACTAATCACAGGCCCCTTATCTTGTGTCTTTTCAATCTTTTATGTCATGCTCTTCAACAGTTTTGAAGTGTAAATATATTTTTCTAGTCAAAAGAATAATTCACAAGCCTATAAGAAAACTTGTAAATCTATGCTACTTTAATTTT